AACATCCATCCATCCATTTTCTCTATCGCAATCCTTCTATCAACACCGACAAACAAACAAAAATTACATCTCGCGGAAAAGAAATTCCAATTCTGTAAGGAAAGAAAGAAAGAGAAGAAAAAAACAGGCAAACGAAGCAGAAATAAAGGAAATCACATTCGACGAAAGGGAATCCTCCCTCGCACGCACGCACGCACGCACGCACGCGCGAGACTGACGTAAGAAGCGGGAGCGACTGCGCATCATGCTGACCAACCCACACGTGCCCCAGCATCGCTCCAGCTGTTGCCAAAAGGGGCGGTGGGGAAGAGGGAGGGGAGGGGGGGTAGGGTGGTGGTGATGGTGGGGAAGAATAGGGGGATTGGGGGTATAGGGGAGGGTAGTGGTTATGGTGGGGAAGAGGGGGGGATTGATTTAGGGGCAAGGAGGGTGGTGGGGAAGAGGGGTCAGTATTGTAGGTCGAAAGGGGGGTTGTGGAGGAGGGGTGGGGGCGGGGGGAGAAGGTGGGGAGGTAGGGAATTGTTGTCTCTTGCTGGTAGTGGGGTGGTGGGAGGGGAGGGAGGGGAGGGAGGGGGATACTCGCACCTGCGGCGCATGTAATGGGGTTGGTTAAGTTAGCACTTGTGGCAGGGAAGAGAGGCAAATAGACAGACAGGTGGACGGATTAGTAGATAAGTGTAGGTTAAAGAAAGGGGTTGGTAGCTTTAGAAAACAAACAAACAGATTCAGACAGACACAGACAGGGGAAGAGAGGGTAATAAAACCGTAAGAGATTGACCAGGTATCCTTGTCTGGCAACACTGCGCTGGAATCACCTTTGCGGAGGGGGGAGGGGGGAGAGTGGCTAAAAGCGCATGCGAATAAAGGGATGAAGGATTTTCTAATTATAGAATCATATGGGGGGTGTTGAGGGGGGGAAGGGTGCTGGAGGGGGTGAGGAGGTAAGCTGGAATCGCACCCCCACCCCCCAACCTCAATCCACTCTCATCCCCCGCCCTCCTCCTCTTCCTCCTCCTCCTCCTCCTCCTCCTCCTCTTCCTCCTCCTCCCCCTCCTCCTCCTCCTCCTCCTCCTCCTCCTCCCCTCCTCCTCCCCCCCTCCTCCCCCCCCCCACATCGTTCCCTCAGAACTCGGGAGGGAAATACGCGCCATATTAGTGCTCCATCATAAATTTATGAAGATTACTCCTTGTGGGCGAGTGGACGGGGCGAGCGAGCGATCTCGTTAAGCGGAAGAGCGGGCTGGAAGATCGGAGTAGCGGGCGGGCGGCAAGACACACTTCCGGGAGTTGACTCACGCGGCGGCCGGGCTGTTCCCGGTGGAGGGCGGGGGGTGGAGTGGAGTTGAAGGGGGAGGGGGGGAGGGAGTTGGAGGGGGAGGAGAAGGGTGGACTTGGGGAGGTACAGAGGCGGGGGGGGGAGAAGGGTGGACTTGGGGAGGTACAGAGGCGGGGGGGGGGGGAAGGGTGGACTTGGGGAGGTACAGAGGCAGGGGGGGAGGAGAAGGGTGGACTTGGGGAGGTACAGAGGCGGGGGGGGGGAGAAGGGTGGACTTGGGGAGGTACAGAGGCAGGGGGGGGAGGAGAAGGGTGGACTTAGGGAGGTACAGAGGTAGGGAGGGACAGGTAAATGGAGAAGGTTGGCTGCAGGAGGAGGAGGAGAGAGAGAAAGAGCTTCACGGGTAGACAGACGGAGTGAGGAGGAGAGAGGGAGAGAGAGAGAGAGAGAGAGAGAGAGAGAGAGAGAGAGAGAGAGAGAGAGAGAGAGAGAGAGGGAGAGAGAGAGTTAGAAGGCATTTTAATAAAAACAAAATAGGTAGGAAAGTACAAACGAGTTCCGAGTACACAGGGACTTCGTTTTCACAATGTTCTCGGGTAACGGAGTGGAAGGGGGGTGGGGTACTCAGGGGGAGGGGGGGGTAAGAGTAGGGAAATGAGAGAGAGAGAAGAAAAAAGTTTTGGATGAACTCAGGGCCGAGTGAACTGACAGCGATCTCCCGCAAAAAAGCTCTAGAGAGAACAGAGCTCTTTCCGACTGTATGTGACAAGGGAATACGGGACTAAATTCATTACGGTATTTTTTATTTTATTTTTTGGTTTAACCCATATGAGAGAGTAATTCAATGAATTTATTATGGCATCGGTTGCAACATTACTCGTTCGTTCATTCTCTCTCTCTCTCTCTCTCTCTCTCTCTCTCTCTCTCTCTCTCTCTCTCTCTCTCTCTCTCTCTCTCTCTCTCTCTCTCTCTCTCTCTCTCTCTCTCTCTCTCCTCCCCCTCCCCTCTCCCTTTTCTTTTCCATATACCACTCCCTTCCCTGCTCCTCTCCCTCCCTCCCTCCCTCCATTTATTAGTCTCTCTTCCTCTTCCCTCCCTATTAGCATGCATTGTAACCCGCACATGAACCCCTCGTGCCAAGCAATACAAAGAACCTCCTACCTTGAAAACATACGTGACGAAGCTCTAATTAAAATACGAAGCAATATAAAAAAGAAAAGAAAA